CTCCGGCCCAGAGGTCCTTCGGTTGGGGAAAGGACAATAAATGGGGTGGTGAAGGGCCGAGCCCCGGTGGTGTCCGGGGATACGTACCCTGGGTGTCAATAGGAGGGCTGGGGCGGGAACGGGAAATAAAAGACCCCGATCTCAGTTCTCCTCTGTGGATCACACACACACACACCCCCAATGGAAAATCCCCATCCATAGACCATACGTAATCCTCTAACCCCTTTGTGTGGCTTTTCCAGCCTTGTTTTGACACCCCTCCCGCCGCTCTGCCGGGCACCTCGCTGCAATGGCCGGCCAGCGGTGCCACAGGCTGCCGGCCGCCCCCAGCCTGCCCCCAGTCCCCGGCTCCGCCGCCGCCACCCTCCCGGTCCCGCTGCGGCCGGGGCCGGGGCGGCGAGCGGAGGGGAGGGCGGTGTGTCTGTGCTGTGGCAGAGCCGAGATGCTGCAGAGCCTAGAGGGTTAAAGCAACAGGATGAAGTCAGCACAAAACAGCCCACAAGGACTGGCAAATAAATAAATCATCCTAACGACGTTATTATCATGGCTTGCCTGGGCTTCATTGTCTCTCTCTTTCTTACCTGAATGCCTGGTACGTTTTTCTCCTTGTTCAAGAGAGGCAATCAAAAGAGACAGCGAGCAGTAATTGGCTCCTGCCCGTTTTGGATGTTGCTAAAAATACTACCTTACCTCTCCGTACCTAGAGGTCAATTGAAAAAAAAAAAAAAAGAAATCAAAATACTGAGATAAGCAATCCTGCAGACTGCTCTATTGAGGAGATTTTTGGCATTTCTTCCCAGAAGGGGAATATAAAACTATCCGAACACGTATAAAACACATTCTCTTACATTCTGCCTGCAGCTCAGCACCCTCCTCTGCGCTGGTGGCTGGGGCTCAGCGAGGCTTCCCCAGGCGCCTGGAAATTGCATTTCTCCATACAGCTTTGTGAGGCTGGCAGCCGTGTTCCGCACGGCTCTGCCCTACCTCCTAGCTCTCAGGCAGACAAAATTAGCTTTGGTACAGCTAAGAAGGAGGTGATGCGTTCAACGCACTGCAGTTTGGGTACGTGTCTGTACCTGCTTCCTTTTGTCATGAGAGGAAGGCAGGTAGGTTGTGCTTCGGTTCTTTGTCTATGAAATGGGAATAATATCCTATTTTCTTCGCAGGAGGGAAGCAAAGGTGGGAGGGGTGCATATCCACATTAATTTTTTGAGGTGCTGTTGTGGTAGAATTCTCTAAGTGGATACATTTTTCAAGGGACAAAATAGCTGTTATTTAATGTTCCTCTTGCACTGATACAAGGATAGCACAAAAACATGCAACACATTGACTGGAATTCTAGCTCTACAGTATCTTCTCCCTGAGGATTTAAAAATGTTTTCCAAATTAATCTTCCAGCTCTTCATGATTTTTGTGAGAAAATAAGCACTCCTCCTCTTTCTAAAGGTTAGGATATGTAATTGACTAACAGAAAACATTCCATGTAATGTAGGTCACCAATCCTATAAAGCAAGCAAAACCAAGATGCACAAAGGAATATTTCTGGAGATCTTTCACTGAACTTCTGAGGAAACATTACCATTTCAGGAAAATTCAGCGTGGTTTGCAGACAATTTGGAAAGGCCAGACTTGACAAATCAGTGACAATAGCTCAACTCATTCCGTGACCAACACTCTAATGAAAGAAGTATCATACAGAGGCAGAAAATGTGTCACAGAAAATTCAAGTGGGTTGGCTGAATCTGATCTACTTAATGTGCGACTTTTAACATAAAGAGGATGAAAAGGAGTATTTGGATCGTTACAATATTTGGTCAAAAATGAGGAAGGTGGCCAAGGTCTGAGTGACCACCTCATCATCCCTTAAGAACTTGGGGCCTTCGGGCAAAATTACATGTTGAGCTTGACCTGAGAAGAGAAAGTAGAAAACAAACTTTTCCTGGTTTGTGCATAGATCTAAACTTTATTTCATTTTGAAACTGGTTTCCTGACTATCCTGCTAGTGCTGATCCTGTTCAAACTGAGCCAATGAATGAAATTTAATGATACTGGAGAGGTTGGAAGAATGTTTGTGTGTGAGCACGGAGAAAGGGGTGTCCAAAGCTTCCACCAGGCTTGCAGAGCCCAGCATTTTCCATACCAGCCACACTTCTCTCAGTCAGCTTTCTCAGCCCAGTATCACTCTCCAGAGACCACCCCGGAGAAGATCCTGTTTCCCCTGCCCTGGTTGTGGAGGCTGCATCTTGTGATGGTCCCAGTATCCTGCATCCTACCATATCAGTCTGTTGCCTGAAACACCAGCCAGCCATATAGATAAGCAAACAATTGACCTCTCGCTCATCTTGTAGGTGTCATGGTGTCCCAATCGCTCTGTCATCCACCCATGCATCCTAGCAATGACCTTGTGAAACGAAACAGTATCACTCAATTCATCCTGAAATCATCCACCCCTCCCTCAGGAAAGAGACCTATCTGTAAACATTTGCATTTTTATCAGCTCTAAATTCTTTCTCTTGTCTGTTCAGGAGCTCGGGACTTGTGCATAATGTTTCCTGTTGTGAATGTATATGGTAATTTCAAATACTTGGATTTTTTTTTTCCCTGTTCCATTTCCCTCGCAAAATTTTGGTGTGGTTTTTTTTTTTTTTCTTTTCCATTTTTTTAAGTTATTTGTTGCTTTACTGCGGTACTGCAGGATGAGCAGGATCAGGATCAGGAGGGTAAAAGACAAAAACGAAATAAAAAAAGGAATGTGAGAAACAACAGTTATAGTACAAATCACTTTTTCATATATATTCTATTTTAAATGCAGCAGAAAAAAATACACTGGACTTCATGTGTTAACTGTTTCTTCTTTACATTTTCTTTTCAGGTGCCACCACAGCAAGCAGCATTACAGCCCCACACCAGATGAAAGTGGAAAGATATTTCACGAACAAAGGTGCAATGTCTACATGCAAAAAAAAAAAAAAAAAAGCAACAAAGCGTAATATCCTGGAATTGATGGAGAATCTGACCAATTAATGGACTTGGATCAGGCATGAGAGAGGAGAAGAAAGCAAAGAGATCAGAGTAGGATAACAGTACTTTACACTGCTATAAAAAGCAGAAAAAAAACCATGTTTGGGAAGCTTTTCATGATAAAACATAATAAATAAAGAAGTGGATGTGAAGAGACAGTATGACCACGTCTGCCTCTT